TCACTATTGGTTCCCTGTACATTTTCCTTCATTTCACTTACAGTAGCCTGCATTTTTTATCTAATCTGCAACCAAATTCAACCAATTCTGTGAGCATCCTGATTACCAGTGTTTCGAACTGTGCATCTGATAGGTTGGCTATCTCTTCACTGCTTAGTTGTGTTTGCTGTGGAGCTTTTATCTGTTCTTCCACTGGAGCCACTTTCTTGTCTTGTTGTGCCTGTTACATATGAGAGGCGAAGCCTTAGGGGTTAACCCAGTAGCTGAGTTGTGACACTGTATGCGGGGGCAGGGGCAGAGAGGGAACAATGGTGCTGGCTCTGCTCTCTCTTGGATTTTAGTCCCTTCCTTGGCTTCCCCCAAGCAAACTGGGCCCTTCTGGTGCTGATTCCTGTTTGGGTGGGTTTGTGTATGTTCTAGGACCCTAAGGGTCTCTCCAATAAACTCTCCTGTGAGGCTGGGAGTTTCTCCCTCTGGCACCTCAACCCCCACAGGTGTTTTAAATCAGTATTTTGAGGCTTTATTTCCTCGCACTGGGACTCTGGTTTGTGTGGTCCGTCCTGCTCCCCCTTTGTTTCACCTGGTTGATCTGAACGGGAATGGGACCGCCTGCTCCACTAGCACCGCCATTCAGCGAGTCCTCTCCACCCTGGCTGCCTGTCTCCGCCCCTCCTACCAGTCTGGATGAATCTGCCTTCTTTAACTCCTTGGTTATCTGACTTCCATTCAGTTCGATTTTCTGTCAGTTCTCATTGTTTTTTGTTTTTAAATTGTTGTCCTGCTTTTGGTTGTATGAGGAGGCACCGTGTGTCTACCTATGCCTCTATTTTGGCTGGAAGTCTCAGTTTTCAGATGTTTTTTAAAAAGCTCATCATCAAACTTGCTTCATGATTTTGTGATTTTAATATTTTTAAGCTACAAGTAAACTTTTTAAAGAGCATATTTTAAATAAATTTATAATCAAGTGTAGAATTTTTAAGAGTATTGAAAATTTATATCTATTCAAATCGACTGAATTTCCTTTGTACGCATTAGTAATTTTTAATATTTTAATTTTTATTGTATTTTTTTCATTACAATTTAGCCCCCTTACACCTTCTACTTTCTCCCACCGCCCCCTCCACAATCACTGCACTGTTGTATGTGTCCATGAGTTTTTGGTCATTTGAAAAGATAATGTGGCTAGTGAAATTCTGGGTTGATAAATTTATGGTGTAACAAATATTAATTTCATAGCTATGGAATTGACCTGTCATACAAATCCTTAGGTGACAAAGATAAATAATTATCTTCCCTATAATTGTCTGTGGGCTGCAAATGCCTCAGACGGGGCTGGTGGGTTGTTAAAAATTGAGAAGTTTGAATGAGGGGAAGTAAGGAAGAATTCCTCAGTTTGTCCACAACCCTCTTGATATTATATGTAAAGATGGTGAAAAAAGTCTCCTTTACACATATACACCTATTTTAGTATACATACACACATGTGCAATTTGCACACAAGTGTCCTTGACATGAACAATTAACTACATAAATGTTGTCTGAACAAAACATTCATACATTCAAAGGTCAAACTGAATTAAAAGTGTTTGTCTGCCATAATCTATTTTCACACAGAACATGCACACACCAGGAGATGAATATATGTATAACAAGCTTTGCCCATGTTAGAAAAGCAGCATTGAATAGGGAAGTAGAATGAATTTTAAATGTATGTGCCCTTAAGAGAAGTGTGTGTTCTTAAATATAGAGGACAATATATTAACAGAAAAACAGCAGGATTGTTGAATATGATTCATTAGTTTTACAAAAGTAAATGTGATATGAACCATTTAATATGGTGTGGCATGTCACCAAATGCCTTTGTTTAAAAAACTGAGTTCCTATAAAAGGTGAAGAGGATGAGAAACAGTGTTTCAAGAAAGTAATATTTAGATTGGACATTTTTAGGATGCACACATAGGAAAAATGGCCTTAAACTAGTAAATTCTCCATTTATTCAATTAATTGAGCAAATAGTAAAAACAGAGGGTAGACTACAATTGAATAAAAAAAAGGACATAAAATCTTTATATTTGGAAAATACAAAGGAAAAATAACAAAATTTAAGATAATCCCCTGAGATATGTTGTTGTGTTAATCCTGGGCACAGAGTTTTGGAAGAGAAAAAATTATTAGTTTAAATGAAAATTACTTATTACTTCTCTTTTTATACATCTACATTCTTCCATTTAAAATTGTTAAGAATTATGTGCTCCCTCAAATTAAGATATCTCTTAAGCACAAATTTTGATAAAGAATATAAAAGTCATTGCTATGTTCACTTAAGAATCTTTTCCTTTATGAAGAAAAATATATAGAGATTAAGATGATTTCCTGGTGGATGGTTTGGAAATCCTAATAAAGAGAGAGATGATTTATCTAAACTTATAGTTAGATAAATTAAAATGATACAATTATTAGGGCTTCTATACTTCTATCATAAAACAACTAAATATACTTAAAATTATGGCTAACTATGAGGTGCTAAAAATCTCTGTAAAATTATAAGAGTTAGATTAATTGGTAGAATTCTGAGATACAATGAATTTGGGGTTAAAGTTATTTTGTTTTGAGTTCTTCGAAACATGGTAATATTATATTACTTAGAACTTTTAAATAAGCTGAATATTCCTTGCCCCACACCATGTTTTATAATTATGAACTTGTCCATGAACAGAAATAATGTTTCCAACCTTTGCTACTCCCCATCTATTTATTTGTCATGTATTAAGAACTATCTTGGAATCTCTGCTCTCTGACAAGTGCCTACAGTTCAGTGTTAAACAAGATGCTGACCCTGTCTTGTTGGACCATGTAATCCAGAGAGGGGGCAGAGGACAGGTCCGGTGGGCAGAGTACAGTGTGAGGGGCACATAAAACTCCACACAGTGTGCTACGGAGTCAGACCATAAGTATCTGAACAAGTGTGAAGGGGAAGGGGACTGTTGGAGACATGCTCCAGGTGGTGATATTGCCCTGAATAGGAACAATGAGAAGGTACTAAATAAGATATCTTCCCATTACTTTTAATTCTGATAATTTTTTTTTTAATATTAAATTTTATTTAGTTACTTTTCAAGTTTCTTTTAAAGGAATATTTATGAAATCACATTATCACTTGAAAGTATTCACAGTTAACAGTTTAGCCCATTTGTCAACTTTTTCAAAAGGAATGGCTTCTCTACACCATTAAATAACCAGGTATTTAGGAAAAAATGATAACTCCTGTAATAAACTTATGTCATATGACATACTTACAGCATATGCAATATTCAAGTATTGAGTATTAAAAAGATTGTGATTAATTTGAAGTTGTATGTGTACATGTTTTCAATTCTTCAATCATGTCAATCACACATAAACTAAAATGCACCTGAGTGTTTGAAAGTGTTTTACATTTTTTCATAATTCTTATTCACAATATTTCTCCTATAAAATGATCTAAACCTGCTAATCCATATATATATGTCTCTCTCTCTCTTAAATTTACACCCATAATACGTGCTTATCGATTTTAGAGATAGGGGAAGCAGAGAGAGAGAGAGACTAATGTGAGAGAAAAAAACAATGATCAGATGCCTTTTGTATGCGCCTCAACTGGGGACTGAACTCGCAGCCTAGGCATGTACCCTGAGCAGGAATTAAACCTGCAACCCTTAGGTTTATATAGGACAACACTCAGCCAACTGACCCACACCAGTCAGTGCCATATATTTACCTTTATAGTTACTCAAATACATATGAAACAATCCATTTAGAAAGCCATAGTTAATGATGAGCCACACCTCTTTAAATGATGAAAATTCCAGTGAAAAGCAAGGCAAATTGAGCTTTTACTCTGTAGTGTCTTCTTGTGAAATTTTTGAAACACAAGAAATAGTTCATAATTTATTATTACTATTATTGGTACATCCTTCACATTTCAGGAAACCAAGCTGAGAATCATGGTGCTCTTGTGAATTGTGAAAATTGAAAGGAATTGACAGTAGGGATATCAGAAAAAAACAGTTACAGTTAATATTTTCTACCCTATCAGCAGGTTCAGCTACATGTTTCTCTATTATACTGTCCTCTGCAGTCAAACAGACATTTAGCCAAATATTTTCAACCTTGACATTCATCTTCACATTGTTTTCTTGTTGAAGCAGTATACCTATGGAAAGATTTGTCTAACATCTTTTTTGAAAGGAATTGGTTTTCAAATGAGAATGCAGGTTATGTTGTTGTATATTACTTTTCATAAATCTACAAAATAATGTCTGTGGATATAATACTTTGTTTATAGGAAATTTCAATGTTCCTATATTAATCCTTAATAACTAAATAACATCATGAATTTATCTTAAAGAAGCTTAAATTATACCTATTTCCCATTCTCTTTTGGTTTCTCTCTTCCTAGAGCATTTTCTTATACAGAATTTATGCAGAAGAATCAAGTAGGACTCTATAGTTCAAAATTATTTTGTTAGTGAATTAGTCAAAGGTACTTCTGAATCTCATAAAGATATTATATTCAGTGATTTTTTGATTCAGCCCTTGGTTTATAATGCACAATCTGTATGACAACCATCATCTATTTCTATCTATAATATACTAGTATTTTGTATTTTTATTTGTTTTGTTTTGAAATCTGCACCTGAGGACATGATTATTGATTTCAGAGGGAGGGGAGGGAGGGAAAGAGAGAGGGAGAGAAACATTGATGTGAGAGAGAAACATCAATTGGTTGCCTCTTGTACCCATCCCAACCAAGGACTAGGGACTGAACCTGCAACCTAGGCACTTGCCCTGACTAGGAATGGAACCAGCAACCTTTAAGTTTATGGGAGCATGCTCCAATAAATTGAGCCACACCCACCAGGGGTGCTCACTGGTGTATTTTATTCAGTATTTCCCCCACTTCCCCTCACTCACTATCTTTTAAAAAATATGTAAATTAAATGCTGTAAAATTGCACTTACTTTTTTATCTTTATTGTATTTAGCAAATATCTCCTGGGCTCTCTCTTCTCCTCCATCCGTGAACAACATGATGATCTTATTGCAGTTAGCTCTGGAAACATTATACTGTAAAGAAAAAAAGAAAAATACATACATATATATCATTCATAATAAAGACTAGAAATTATAAAGCACATGAAAGAGCAGGAACAGCTTATAAGTAATGAGTAAAATATATGCCTGGTATGCATATTCTAAGAACTGGTTCCTGGATCAGGCCAGACTCATCCCCACACAGAGCCTTCCCTTCAAGCCCACCCTAGACACCCGGAGGTCTCAGCTCCTTTAGGACTTTGATCAAATGTCACCTTATCACTGAGAACTTCCCCTGAAAACTACAATTTAAATGTAATCTCCTTCCAAGGCTGTATTTTTCTTCATCACATTTTATACTCGTATTATATATATGAGTGTATATATGCATATATGACAGAGAGATAGAGAGAACATATTTTATTTGCTTGCTTATTGTTGGCTTTCCATTATTGAAAGTATTGTAAGTATAATGAGAACATTAAGTTTTGTCTGTTTTTGTTCAGTGTTGTTTCCTTTCCTAGATAAATACCTAGAACATAATAACCTCTCAGTGGTTAATTAGTAGATTTTAAATTAATTAATGGTTATGATGTCAATTTTACACCCCTATAATTTATACCAGAAACAAGCAATATTTATAAAAATTGTGCATACCCTTTCACATGTATTTTCAATCCCTTCCCTCCTTTATCCTACTTTATTCACTTTACATTTCTGAAACTGTAAACTCCTAGCTGATCCCTAACATCCACTGCTTTTTCATATCTTTGTAAATGCACATACCTATTCTCAGAATATCCTCTCCTATTCTTTCTCAACCTGCCACACATTCTAATCCTGAAAGATGCAAGTCCAATAAGAAATCTTCTCAAACTTTCTTTAAAGTCACAAGAGAGCCACACATGGGAGAACAACAAGTTAACATCAAAGGACCACAAAAATAAACAACTGATTTAGAAATCTGGGCTGCTTTGAGGTCTGAAATTATATTTTTTACTACTGTGAAATGTGTTTCTGCAACAGTGTTGAGAATTTTAAAATTACACTAATTTATGAATGCCCACCTTCTTTCAAAATGCCAACCCTCTGGTCAGCTCAGTGCTATCAGTGGAGATATAACATAAACCTAATTTCAAATTTTAACTTTCCAACAGCCATGTTAAAAAGAAGTAAGAAGAAATATTGGAATTAATTCTAATAATATATTTTATTTAACCCAGTCATCCAAAAAGTTATCAATTAAATATAAAATCAGTATAAAAATTCTTGAGATCTTTATTCTTTCATGGTAAGTTCTTCCGATTTCCATGGGTATCTAACACAATAAACACATTTCAATTCAGACCAGGAGCATTTTTAGTTTTCAATAGGACATACGACTGTGGTTACCATATTGGAAAGTATAGTCCTGACCTTTAAGTTACTGGTCTGTATTTTTAAGTCCTTCATTGTCCTGTAGTGTTTATGTTATTGGAGGTCCGTGCTCTTTCTTATTTTTTCAAATAAGATAAGCCCTATTTCCTGTTGTAAAGCTAATAAAGATAACATTTTGCTTCACTGATTAAAAAGGTCCTGTTTTGTACAATCTCATCACACTGTCTAGGTCACTACAACCTGGGCAGCTCGAACTTTCATCCAAGCACTGTGAAAATACAAGCATCGATTAGTACAATTCGTTTCATTCAAACACATCCATACATTTGAAAGTAACTGTCTGAAAACTTGCCTCTACAAACAATTACATATTTTATTATCAAAATACTTTCATGAAAGGTGTTGAAATCCCTCAACTAAAATTAATTTCCCTGATTTGCCTTTTGTATCTGCATATTAAAAATGGGCAAAATAATACGCATCTAAAGGACCATCTCATAAAAGTGATAAAGTAAAGTTTCTACCATAAGACTTGGCTTCCTTTTGGAAGGTGCATACATATTTAGTTACTCAATGCAAATATCATTAGTTTAGCACACTGGGTCCTGCTGACCATGTGTATTTTGTAAAAGGTGAATGATTTATGCGATTGGAAGAGAAACCAGAGTATATGTATTTTGTATAAGTAAAATAATAAAGACCTTTCCCAGGAGAGAAAGATGCAAAAATGGAAATAAAACATTTTGTTTTCAACATGATTTTTCCTAGAAGTAGCCTTCTCAGGACTTTTGATAAAGCAAAGTACATTACAGCAACTTTTCAGTGGATTTGCAATTATCCAAAGAATCACAGAGTCACAATAATTACACCTTACTGGCTTGTAACAAATTAAATAAGAGAAAGAACTTGACTATTTCAATGGAATTATAATTCAAGTTGTTAATTTGCTTTAATATGCCATTTCACAGCCTGCTTTGTTGGATCTCTGCATGGCCAGAGAAAAGAGAAGCACTTATCACATACCCACTCAATCAGAATTTTCTGAAAACTGTTTCTGAAATATTTGGCAATATTTTATGAACTGCTACCTAAAGAATAATTTAAATCATAATTTAAGGTTATCTATGGGATAAATGATATGTGTAATCCTATCACTGATACTTGCCTCAGTGACCTTAAAGGAAAACCTTTCAAGGACATATGAAAAACAGAGATGGCACTGCCTGGTACTGAGAAGAGTAGATGTCTTTGAAAGAGATAACAGAAGATGCTCAAACTTTGAGAAAGGTAGGCCATGACATTTGGGAAAATTATTTTAAAATGAAGAAAAGTAATAAATGAGACGTGTGGAAAACACATCAGGAGATTTACATCAGGAATAACAGAAACATATTAAAAACCATTTACATGGTGATAAAGGCAGCACTAGAAGCCAATAGGAGCAAAACGATATTCAATCAGCAACTAGTAATGATTTTGGGAGTTAATGTGGTCTTTTTAATGAGATTGCCCCTGAAATAGTACATTAAATTGAGACACCTTAGCATTTCACAATTGAAACTGGATGAGAGAGAAGTGAAGCAAATTAATGACACTGAGAAAAACTATTAAACTGCCAAGATCTAGAAAACTCAATTACTGACTCAAGAGAAAATAATTTTCATGTTAAAACTTATATTCCTTTTCTACAGAAAGAATCTATCTAAATCTAATGGTCATTTATATTTGAATTTCAAAGTTTTAAATTTCCACACTTTCATTAGTGAACATAAATCATTTAACAAACACGCATTTTGCTAATGATAACTTCCCTTGAAAACTGAGGTGGTGAACTGCTTTGCTATCCTGTCTCCTTCCTTGCTTCTCTAATGGCATCTAATAAATATCCCCACCTCAAACCCAGCATAGTGAAACTGAGCGCTTTCTACCCTCACATTTCTTGTTTAGATTCCTGTGCCATCATCTAGTTCAGAGACAATACAGCCACTCCAGTCCTCCCCACTTCAGTAATCTCTTCCCCATCCAGTTACCATGTTACTCCCTAACATCTCTTCATTATTGTTCCAACACTAGGATTCCTACAATAGCTCAATTAGAACACTAGTTAAGCATGTCATTTTCATACCATAAACTTTCCATTTGCTCCTACACACTTCATTAACTGACAGCCCATGGTCTTTACATTTCCAACCCTGCTCCTGTATTGCCAAGTCCCTGCCAAGCCAAACTGCCTGCAATTTTGACAAATTTCCATGCAGTCTAGCATACTTTTGTGCCTTTGTCCATGTAGTTCTTTTTATGTGAATTGATTTGCCTTCTCTCAAATCCCTACCTAGATTCTACTTATTCCTCAAAATCCTGTTCTCATGGAAATGCCACATTTTCCTGAACTCCTTTGGGTAAGTGGAATCCCTCCTCCACGTCACCTCAATAATATACTCTAAATGCGCCATAATGGCCCTACCACATTGTACTAGAGATGATAGTTTGGTGTATTCTAGAGCTCCTTAAGAGCAGATGGTGTCAATTATTTCTCTAATTCCAGCTCTCGCACTGTGACAGGAAATTATGAGACACTTAATAAATATTGGCTGAATGAACAAATGAATGAACCAAATAATCAGACATTTCAAAAACTGTTTAGAAGATTCATTCAGGGAACAACAAAGTCAAATTTGCTGAAAAGGCCACATGTAAGGGCTTCTTCAGTGATTCAGCAAATATGATAGGAATTGTGTGCTGATGCTGAGCCAGCCATGTGCTAGTTGTTAGTTATAGGAATAAAGATCTTGACTCTAGCACCAGCCCAACAGCTTGCATACATGTGAAGCTTGCTGGGTTTCGGATTCTGCAAACAATCTTGTTCACAATCCTCTGATGAACACACTGTAGTGACTTCCACTGTATAGTGAAGAAACCCAGGTACAGAGCCATTAGGTCCGCTGTTGGGAACTTCTCTGCGTGGTTTCAGGAGTTGTAACCACCCCCCATGGATAAGGCTGAGTGAGTGACCTTCTGACTGTGAACCACTAAGGAGACAAAGCTTATCTCCCTGGCAGGAGCACTGCTTCTGCTTCATCCATCTCTGGCCCCCAGTGATTGGTCAGTTAGTCAATGACAGGTAAGACCCCTCTGGGGGGGCAACCTAAGCCAGACTTGATCACTTCAGAGGCCCTCAAGGAAGGACTCGGGGGGGCTGCAGCAAAAAGAGGGTGATGGACCCTCACTCTCTGGCTATTCTGACATAGCCCGAGTCCCCATTTCTGTCCAGGAGAAGCGCTTTCTGGCTCTAATCCACTTAAGCCTAAAAACCTATGATGGGGAAGGCGGTGCAGCCCATTGCCAGCTAGAGCAGTTCCAGGGTGATGGGGCATAAGAAAGAATTTGTAAAGTCCTGTGAGGCCTGCTTTGCTAAGAGTGTTTTCATTCATATGATGAGGCTCTGAGCAAGAAATGAGTATGTCTCCCAAAGTTTTTGCAACTCCCTTACCTGACAGCCACTGACTCAGACTAAGCTCTCAGATTTCTTTGAAATATTATCTACTGTTTGATCCTTACTGCCTGACATTGATTGATGAGCTTTACCTGTATTCCTATGTGTTATGAACCTAATAAAAGCCATTGAGGAAGGGGCTCTTGGTCCTCCTTTGAGAGATTGACCACCTCTCCTCCCCAAGCAGATCATGTCTTGGCAGTTTTATTTTCACCTGTGGCGGACGGGGGGACTGGCGTGCAGTTTTCCCCACAGTCCACACTCTCACCCATAGTGAAGATACTGTATCTCGAGAGACACAAAACTGAATGATGGCTCCTATTCTCAAATAGTATGAAGTAAAAAAGATGGCATGGGCATTTGAAAATACAGTCCTGAGTGAGATACCTGCACTAATGTGGCAAGAGGCAGGCCAGAGTCCAACAGTCTAACTAGAGATATGGGTGGGGAATTTGTTCAAGGGAGGGTTCCCTGAGGAAGGAGAGCCTGCTCTGGGCCTTACCTTCCTTTTCAGCTTACTGTCCACCATTTGCAAGGTACATATAGGAACAATTTAAATACCCCAATTATATGTTTCCAGCAACCATTTGATGATTAAAAGTACAAGTTTCCAGACAAGTACTGTGGTAACTGAGATAAGAAGAAAGAAATGATATTCTAAATATGCCAAATAAGTGTTAAGGGCTTATGCAAAATTAAATTATTACCATATGTATTTAAACATATTTTGAAAATATGATTGGAAAAAAGATTTAAAAGGAAAAGGAAATATGCATTTTGTATGCTTCTTGAATTATGATTTAAAAATAAATGTAATTCGAAGATTCCTATGGCCTGGATACAACTTGAATTATGATTTAAAAATAAATGTAGTTCAAAGATTTCTATTGCCTGGATACAATTGCCTTCTGAACAATGAAAAACAGCTGTGTTATCTAACCCTAGATAGCACCGCCTAACAGGATAATGAAATTAAGTCGCTGCAATTCAATAACAAAAGGAAAAGGGGATGGTACCGATACTTACATTGAGCAGCTGTTCAAACGCAAAGCTAAAGCCCTTCTTATAATCTGTAATCCCTTTTGCTGTGATATTATTCACCGCATCTTTCAGTACTTTCTTATTTCTTACATTTGCTTGTACAAGGTGCTGAAAACAGCTTACATCCTGGGCATTGCTGTTAAACTGCAAAAGATAAAATAGTAAATATAGAAAGGAACATTAAAATCAACCATGTAATTTTTGTTGAATGTACTACTTATACTTCTCAATCCCAATGCATTGCTTTATCTTTAAAAAATACAGAAAAGACTGGAAACAAAAGTACACTAAGAACCAAAGAGAGGTTTTCACCGGAGCCCCCAACTCATAGTATAACTCTGAGCCCATCACTTACCTCCTGCAGACTGGGTTCCCTGATTTTTAATTTGGGATTTGCGTTAAGTGGTCCCTTCTAGCTCTCAAATTTTATGAGCATTTAGACAAAAACAAATAACTAAATAAGATGTATTAATAATCCAGAAGTGATATGGTGATGGCTGGGCAGATTTCAGGGAGAAACTGGGTATTTTACTTGCCCCTCATAAGGAAAAGCTAGGTGGAAAATAGTATACTGAATTAAAGGAAGAGAAGTTTAATACTTTTGAAATTTGAGCACAGTGTCTTCCTATGGGGGTTAAGACAGGAAAGCAATTTGGAAGTGTCAAGGACACTTGGTGGCCTCTTGGAAATATCACTCTAGAAGTTTTAAATAGTACGCAGTAGAATCCGGGAGGCAAGCAAAGCACAAGAGATCCCTGAGGAGAGCTGCTGTTGTTAAGGGCTTTTCCCTGAACAACAAAGAGGGTTAAGAGAAGAGAACATAAACTCCAACTCTACTTGCCCCAAACTGAAATTTAAGAAACAATCCCCAAAGTAATTTCATCAATTTCATAAAATGTATTCACACAGTTTATTGGATATTTCCAAAAAGGTAAGAACAAGAGTACTACAATAAGATTCAGAATTTTATCATTTAATAACTTTGCTATTTGTGTGAGTCCCTTAGGGTCTTGGAGTTTAGATGGTCATATCTTCAAAACAAAATAATAAAATCATTCTTACCAGAAGACAGAGGGCTTGCCAGGTAAAGCCTGGAGAAACTCTCATACCAAAGACATATAATTAAATGATTTCAATAGGTGAATCACAAGTCAAAACACAAATTTTATAAGTGATTATATATTCTTATAAATATAATGCATCATTTTTTCCTCTGCAGTGTAGGTCACTGCAGTATAATTGTAAGATGCATCACACTTTTCCTTAATCCATTAAGCAATTAGCAGGTCTGTTATATGTGAAGAATTATAGCAGGTGATAGTTTTGTGCCTTCAGACATTATGCAAACATGAACATGCATGTACACACATGGATGTTTGTATGCATGTAAACACATGGTGTTTCCTATGAGCTGCATTTACTGTGTACTCTATAAATATTAACCATTCCTCTTGGCGAATGCCCTACAAGATTAGTGTTGTCATTATCCATGAAGACACTTAAGGATAGAGAAATTAAATAACTTATCCATAGTCACGTAGTAAATAAGTGACAGTCAGAATTCAGACTAGCACTGAGGCAGAAGAGTATGAGATTTTAACTATTGCCACGTTGCCTCTCAACATATAACAATAAATTATGACTATTTCAGAAAAAGAAATAATATTTTGCTCTAGGATACCATCTCAGGGGAGTGAGTTGCAATGTGAACTATGAGTGTGTGGGGGAGAATTTTCCTGGAAGTGGCCTTTCCTGAGATCCCAGAGAAATGTTTCATTGAAGACTATGGAGGAAGAACATTCAGGCAAATAGAACAACATACAAAAAGGCCCTGAAATTGGGGGGTGTGAGAGCTTTTAGGGTAACATAAAAAATAGTTTAATTCAGTCACATATGAAGACAAATGACAGAAAATGGTTCAGGGAAGGAGGAAGGGGCTAGATCATGCAAGGTGTAATGGAAATGCTGAAGAATTTGGATTACATATATATTTTTGTCTAACAGAAAGTCACAGAAAGATTTTAAGCCAAATTCAAAATAACATAATATACAATTTTAAGAAGTCATCCTAGCAATTGTTTGGGAAGTGGATTTTAGGTGAGCAAAATTTAAAGGAGAGGGAATAATTAAAGGCTATTGTGGTAACCAAGCAGAACATATAAATTGGCTTTGTTATTTGTACAAATGGTCCAAAAAGAAAAGATTCCAGGTGTATTTTGGAGGAAGAGTCAACAGGATGTGGTGGTAGACTGGGTGTGCGGCTGAGGAAGAGAGGAGTGTCCTGATGACTCTCAGGTTCCAACCTGGGCATCTGGACGGTAAGGACTGGAGAAGGGACTTGAGAACTGGAGGACTAGGGCAGAGGAGCATGGAGCTCTAGTGAGGGGGCATTTTCAGTATAAGTGAGCTATGCAAATGGGATATCAAGAAATCAGATCATGTAAAGCATGAGCCTCAGGAGAAGTCTAGGGTGGAGTCAAAAATAAATCCTTCAGCATAGGCATTCAGTTTACTGTGTGAATTAAAATTGAAGTAGGGGAGTAAGAGTTAAGTTGCCATGGGGGCAAGAGAGAAGCCAGGTACATAGACTATCTTGGGTATGAGAGAGAAAAAAAAGTCCTCAGAAAATGACATTGCAGAAAAGGCTCCAGAAGATGACATTGCAGTTCAGAGACAGAGAAGATGAGGACTCGCTAAACTCATTCCCACTATCTACGCAAGCAGAACCCAATGGAATGCATTGAAGAGCAATGGGAAGTGATAGCTTGTGTTGAGGATCACCTACTATGTGCCTTGGCTGGGAAGCAGAGAAGAACAGGGTGGTACCTGTAAAGGTAAACCTGGGGTCAGAAAAAAGGCCGCCTTAAAATGAAGGGTCTCGTCCTGGCTGGTGTGGCTTGGAGGCTTGGAGCATTGTCTCATAAACTGAAATGTCACAGGTTCAATTCCCGGACAGACAGACAGACACATACCTAGGTTGTGGGTTTGGTTGGGGTGTGCAGGACTGGCAACCAATCGTTTCTGTCACATCAAATTTCTCTCACTCTCACTCTCTCTCCCTCCCTTCCTCTCTCTATAAAATCAATAAGCACATCCTTGAGTGAGGGTGAAAAAAAATTAAAATGAAGATTCACTAGAGCAAGAGAAGATTGATACCAAACAGCAAAGAAAGAAAAAGATACAGGAAGTAGAAAAGAGGTGAAAAATAAAGTACTTTTGAGGGTGGGGAAGGATGCAATGCAGGTGCATCTCTAAAAACAACCCTTGAAGAAAATATGCCCTGACACCACTGTTCTAGGAAAGCAGAGTGGGACCTGAGTACACGTTTGGGGGAACGTAGATCTGGCATTGAAAAGATGATAGTTACTATCTGTGTGTTTTGTCCCCAGTGATGGAGATGGAGGCAAGGTCATCAGGATGAAGTAAGAGAGGAGATGGTTTGGAGAGAGTGAAGATTAGGTAGCAAGTAAAACTGTTCTGCACAGATAAATAATTTGAGTTCTTTCTTACTTTTACATTGAACATTACTTTCAGGTACATCATATATATGAGAACAAAGCTCCAATATATTTTACTGTTTTCTATCAATTTGAATGTTTAAAACTTAGTATCTTCCAATCCAAATCTAATTCCCACTGCTTATTTCATCACTTCTGTTCTTTGATAATGAGACACAGTCTTACTCTACATGTTCTGTTCTGAAAATAAAAGAATGTGAGAATTTCCATGTTAGAAAGTAAAAAAAAAAGATAGTTTATCAATATATTCATAGCAAAATGTCTAACTGTAGAGAATTAATAGCTACAGTTATAGGAACTGTTATTAACTGATTTAGTTAAAACATGAATCACGATAAAATTATGATAAGCAGAAAATGAGTATTAAACAACATATTGACCTGAGTCTTCTGATTGGCCTCGACCTGCTTTTAACACAGAACAGTGAAACATCTCGTTAAGTCACTGTAACACAAGTTGATTAAATGTAAATTGAATTCATTAATTACAAATTCAGTGGTGTATAGCAAATACTACAATTATATTTGTAATAAAACTCATAAATAATGCAGAGAAAGAAATAACATACAAAGTGTAAGTCCCTATAGCAGATCTTAATTCTCCTAAGGGATCATAAATTTTAAACGTCTAAATTAGGTAAGTACATATTTTAGACATCTGATACTCATCTGCTTTTAAAACAGAAAAAAAACAGGTTTATTTTCATGAACTAAAATTGCCATCTTTGTAACACTTGCCTACATTTTATTTTATAAACACCATATTTCATATACACACCACATATATATTAAAAGCCATAGGACACATGTTTGACAACATAGCACTATAACACTCAGAAACAGTATATAGTGAGTAAAAATAAGAAACTCTGCTTTTGTCATCTATTAAGAAAATGTGTCTTATAAAAATGTATTTTCAACTAATCCTGCAGAGTCAGAAATTTAAGCTGATTCCTTTCCTGATCCCCCAATATTCAACCAAGTAGGTCCCCTCTAGAACTGCTGAGAAAAATCTCTGTGAGCATCTGAGAGAGGAAAGTGTGTGGGGTGACGTGAGCGTCTGGTTAGAAATCGCGAGGAACGTTGTAACTCTGCTCCAGCGTGCGACACTCTTTCAGGTCCCCCTCCCCACATCCTGTTCCTCCTGCCTGCAGGGCTCTGCCTCTCTGCACCAGCCAGTCGTCCCGCTTAACTCAGTGTTGTTTCCTTCTGAAAGGCTTTCATGACCTTCCCTGACTAGGTCATATCATATCATCATAAGCTTTCCTGAGCCTAGATTTATCTTTTTTATAGAACATATGGTAGTTATAATTTCAAATTTCTTTATATACTGTCTTGACTAACTGGATTAGAAGCCTATGTGGTCAAAGAAAATGGCTGTCCCACCACTGCACCCTCGGACTTGGCATGTAATGGGTATGCTATACATGTTTACTGAGTACATATATGGAGTTTAAGCAAATTAGAAGATGGTACAAAATGTTAATCAATAATCAAGCTATAGACTTTTTAGCATGAGACTGTATTTTAGCTGTACAATATGTATTTACACCTGTACATTCATAATATAGTCTTTTCAAATAGACAGTATTAAAATAGTCAAATGAAGATGCAAGTAAAACACCTA